ACCCAGCCCCAGCCCAGGGCATCACCAGGCTCTCGACAGCCCAGAACATCTGGCGTCCCCCAACCCCGGAGCCGATCGTCCCGCTCCCTCCACGCCGGCTGCCGACGACCATGCCACCACCCATTCGGCCACCCCCTCGGCGAAGCATCCAGGCAGACCAGATGCCCCTGACGACCAACCTCAGGGAGATCCACCGGCTGCCGTCCGACCACCCAGACGCAGCAGTTCGCCGAAGGCTCTGGCTAAAGAGCGGAAGAAGGCTCTGGGTGAAAATTCCCCGAGGCAAGTCGTCCATTTTTATAGAGGACCAGTAACCCGGAGCCGAGCCAAACAATAATTTTTTAGTTTTCTTGACAATTCTTTTTTAGTTTTTTCGAACAATTTTCTTTATTTTTCTATTTTTATTTGTTTTGAAAGTTTCCAGAAATCATTTCCAGTTCTGTTTTCAGAAAACTGAAAACAAGATTTTAGTAAGGGGGGATGTAACGATACACATTACGACATCTATGAGACGATTTCCTAACTACCCGACGTCAAGGAAAGAGTTGGACTACCAGAAACCTGCAGTTAGACGAAACTCTAACAGATGGCGCTTGAACAGCTGTCAACCGCATATGTTGTCAACAATTGTTGCACACGGCCCGTGTGAAGGATTTATTGCACGCGGCCCCAATTGCTTTTCATCAAGTCTGTCATCAGAATTTCGTCTATAAAACCGCTGCATTTTTCAATGGACAATTAGTCGTCTGGTGGCTCAGTTCCAAATGGTGTTATCAATTGTGAGCCCGAAAACCAACCACTAAATCACAGAGAACTCTCAGTGGAATATTAACAGCTTTAAGCCGTATAATATTAAGCTTTAATAACAAAGTTAATGAAACTGTATATCCTGTATGCATAACACATAAACTAACAAAATGTATTTTTCCACTAGAGTCCAATTGCAAATCTGCCCTGTCTCTCTGTACTGACTGAAAACTACGCCCGTGCCTGCCAGTTGCCTGTGAAAAGCCCTGGAACATTTGCCTGTCCTGATTAAAGGCTATGCAAGAACCCTTGTGTGCAAAGTCTACGATACTTTTGTAAATACTGTATATATTTCTAATATAATTTTGTACATACTTTTACCTTGGTAAATAAACCAGTTTAAGTTTACTTTTGTATTTTAAATTAAACCACCAACCCTAACTGATTCTTATAAACCCTACTTTCTCCAGTATTCCTCTATATCTGGAGAGTCAACCAAGGAGGAACCTTGGTGAAGTACTTAAGGCCATAACCAGCCTAGGTACGACACACTTACTATACTATAGGTAGTACATATACTAATATGATATATAATGTATAATATTATTTAATTTTTAGCGGGAACCCATTAACTTTTTTATTCAATTAAATAACATATTTTTTTGTTTTTAGAAATTTAACTTAAAACTAAGAAATGGAATTTAAAACCCAAGCTCAAGCTTAAGTAAGCACTGAAATTACCAACAAGTTAAGAAATGTTTGTGAGATATTGTGTGAAAAATGCAGTGAGGATAAGAAGACTTTTTAACTTGGATACTTGAACACTTGAACAAGCTAATTAAATCTCATAGCAATTCTGCAGGTACACAGCGTAATCTAATTACTAATTTAGGGCAGCTCAAAACATTTAAAAAACAATAATTAAAGCCAAAAATATCGTTAGGGGGCAGGATTAAAAAAAATAATAGGGGTAGCAGAGTACAATGGCAAGCATTAAATAGTGTTTTCAATCACGTATTTGTACAGGGAAAAGTTGATTTAATTTTTTGTATTTTTTTTATTTTATATTCTTTAATGTTTAAGTTTGTTTTAATTCTAGACATACATAGTTATTTAAAATTTAATTTTAAATATAAATTTTTGTACGTGTTTTATGTCAAATAACGTTAATGTTAAACTGATATGCTGATTATTTGAGTAAAAGTTTGTTTGTTTAATAAAATCAAAAGAATTCTACCCTGATTTTTTTTTATTTGAAATATAACTATACTTAAACTAGAGATAAGTAGATAAATATAAGGTATGTTAAATAAGACAGGTTAACATACACAGAAACAAAATTTGATCAAATTATTTATTATTATTTTACAATAAATACTATCATTTTACAATATATTTTGTGATACAAACTTATTGGCAGATTAAACATAAACTAAAAATGGCAACAAATACAAGTTAACTATCATCTATTTTCTTATTAAACATTATTGTTTTTGATATATAGTTTATTATTAGTATTAGAACATTTATTTAGGTAAACCTGTTATATAAATAAAAAAACATTACAATTTTATAAAAGTTTATTTTTTTATAAACATATTAATAATTATTGTAAGCATTTATTAAAAAACAGTACTAATAAATAACTTTATTGTTAAATTAAATTAACAAAACGCGAAATTCAACAAATTGTCAAGGGGCTGTTGTTCTTCCACTCAGCTTAATAAATAAACAATACAAAATAATGAAATAATCCTAGTTTATAATTTTTTTTTAAATAAAATAAAACTACATACTTAACTAAAATTAGTCGTATATTAAAAATAAAATACATTTAAATATAATGAAAAGAAATTAACAGAAGTTAAAAAAGTTGTTAAAAATTAAATTTTTTAGTTTGTTGAGTTGAGCATGATTACAAATTGTTGGGTAACATGAAATAAAAAAAAGTGCAATGTTATAGCTAAAACTTTTTTTATGCTGAGGAATTGTGCCTTAAATTTAAGTGATGTATATCAGTTTTTTTTTTGTCATGTAAGTATTGATTTTGCTTAGTAGTAATTATTTAAAGTACAAGTGAATACAATACTCGCTTCTCCTTTATTCTAAGCCATTTAAATTCTCTCCGAGTAAGACAATCACCATAAACAGTTTCTCCAAAGTTAAAATGTGATAAAACAAGGGAATCGCAAAGTTTTTTTTTTATTTTCTAATCCAATTATTTGACGAAAGTGACGAGGAGATTTAAAATTTAAAAATGTTTTTTGACCCATAGAAATGTGATTTGAAAATCACAATTGGTTGTCCAATATAACGCCTAACTTTCTGGCAGAGCCAACAATTTGTATTTGATTATTATTTATTTAAATTTTTACATGCTCTGTTAGCTGCTGCATGCTAGTTAGCCGCTGCAACTAAACATTATTAAATATATACATATTTAAATTTTAAAAACAATACTACACACAAGTTAATAAAACTATATCTAAATATACAATATAAATAAAAACTATATATATCTAAATAAGTATTAACTTAATACAAATACATTTTTTTATATTTTTTATTATTATTAACAATTTTCAAAATAATTACTGCATGTCTATACATCATGAAACACTGCTTAATACAAAAATAGTTTCAGGGAATGATTCTTTTCTAAATAACAGTGAATGTTAAATTGACAAAGCGAATTAGGCATTGGTAATTATCAAAAGAGGGCATTATATTTTAGTAAAGAATTTTTTCAAGTCTAATTTTAATGATGTTCTTTTTTTTCAGAATTAAAACAAGTAGAAATCTGAATCTTAAAAGGATCTGGAGTAGCATTTTTTTGCCCACGTAATGATTTTAAATTTGACGTTAAAACAATTTAAAAGACTTATTTATATTGACTAATATTAGTGTGACAACAAGAGTTACAATAGACCCTGAAACCATAACACGAGTATCCTTTACGGTCTTTGAAATAGCTACTTCCCGCTCGAAACCCTTTTACATGCAAGCAGTATAGTATATGTCGTTATTTAACAATAAAAGTCGTAGATCTATCGATAAACGGAAGATATCCTTACCATCACACCTCCTATTAGTTCAATTTTATTTTACAGTAGGTAATAATATAAGGAAAACAAAAACAAAGAATAATATTTAACTCAAAGGGATCTATATTGTTTTAACAAATTAAATATAAAAGTGCAATAAATTATATTTAAAGTATATTTTAAAATTATATAACAATATGAAATAACTAATACTAATAATAAATTTTATTTACAGAACATAGACTATTAAAGCAGATAACTTATAAATTAAAGGTTGTAAATCATTTTTCATTTCAAACCCATTTTGTTTTTGATATTTTTTTCAAACAATTTCTCTGTTTTTTTATCTATATCAAACACTAAAAACAATTTTTAACTGATATATAGTTTAACAGTTATCTATATTTATATTTTGTAATACTGCAAGAGTCATTTGAAAAAAACAGCCTGTTTGTAAGAACAGACAGTGTCTGTAAAAACATACAGCCTGTCTGTAAAACCAGACAGCCTGTATGTAAAACCAGACAGAATGTCTGTAAAAACAGACAGTCTATCTGTAAAAACAGACAGCCTGTCTGTAAAAACAGGCAGCCTGTCTATAAAAACAGACATGCTGTCTGTTGTCAAAACAGTTAGGTTATGGAAAGAATTAATTTTTGTATATCGTCGGCAATGTCACTAATCACTAAAACACATTTTAAAGTTAAATAACATTATATGAAATAACTCTTACTAATAATAAATCTTATTTACAGAAGCATACAGAAGCAGATGTGCATGCACAGAAGCAGATATACATGAATAGAAGCAGATAACTTATAAAATATGAGTGTATATAAAAAGTTAAAAATTCTTAGAAATCTCCCTTTACCCGTTTAAAACAGTACGGGACTGAGCCGTGATCTTCTAAAAATCTACGCTTCAAAGAGTTTGTTTTACAGAGCTTTGTTTCCTCCCTGGTGCCTTTAGTGCGGCAAATATTTTTCGATGTAATTTTTATTTGAGTAGATTTTTTTAAAATCATATCTTTTATTGATTTAAAGTTTACAAGTTTGGAAGCATTATAATTTAGGCAGATTCCTTTGACCTTGCACACGACCTTTTCTTCTTTTTCGACATTAGATTTAAACTTGTATGCGTAATTTTTAGGACCTCCGCTAACAAATTCGTTAATAAAGCTTCCCGGTCCATACGTCTTCATTTCGTCTGTCATATCCCCAATAAAATCCCCCGTTGGGGGCTCAAATTCTCCATCTTTTTGGGTAAATAGCCACCGATTTTTCGATCGATATTGTACTGTTCTACTTGGTATTTCCATACCTCGAAAATGTCCAATATTTGGTATCCTTTTTCCAAAGCTTTTACTACCTCGTCAATTACCCAGGTGCCTATAAGTGTACGCTCGTCTTCGGTGTCATCAGCCATATTTTGTCCGCAAGTGCGACAGAGAACAAACATAAGCTTATTATTCATTTTAACAGGCAAAACAGGGTGATACAGATTTCGAGGAGGAAGAATTTTACATTTTATTACCCCATCTGTATCTTGTAAATTTAAGTTTTTACACTGTTCTCCCACAAACACTTCAGGATGACCAATAGGATATTTACCGTATTTACAAACCCACGGATACAGGGAACACACATCCAAATATTTTATTTTTTCATCTTTTTTAACTTTGTAATAATTCAATTTCCTGTTCGTCCTCCATAGAACGCATCTCGTGGATTTAGTGGCGAATGGAATATTAATGGATGATTTTCGACATATCTTTCAATTTCTTTGTTCTCGCGCATTTCTTTACGGAAATCACACTCCCATTTTTCGATGACATCATACCCTGCCGTATTTAGTCTTTCGATTTTCGCCACTGTGGATTCATACCGAAAATTCATGGTTTCTGTAGGATTGTCTGGTAGTGGATCATCGCGTTGGTACTTAAAACAGGTGGGACATCCATGCCAGTAGCAGCCTTCAAACTCAAAAACTCTGTTTTCACAATATCCATCAACTTTATGCCCCGATAAAATTGCCTCTTGTCCCCTAGCAGCATGTTGTATGACGATTTTTCGCTCCTTCTCCTCCCATATAAGCCATTTTAAAGCAATAAGCGATTGATTGTCTTTAAATCGATAGCCGCCTTTGGGAATAATACCTATGGTGTTTGGTTTGAGAAAATTTCTCCTAAACACTTTATTGCAAGCGGAGGCTATGGTGCAGGCATCGGTAAAGGGACAAACATTGGTGGTGGTCATCATCTGTTCTCGAAATTTAAGACAGGCTTCTGTCAGAATTTCCACGTCAAAAACAGTAATCGATTAATTCTTTTTGAATCTTCGTACCAATTTAAAAATTCATTTCGAGCATCCAACTTCATTGTGTCAGGGCTATAAAATTCGATGAAAGGTAGTGGTCCAACATATTTTTGGTTTTCCATAGTATTAAACAAGTGAGGAAAATGTCTTTTCTTGAATTTGTCCCCCAGGTCAAAAGCTTTGGGGAGTGCAGAGAGGGGCATTGGGAAGTAGTTAAGAGAATCCAAAAATTTGACGTTTTTTTAGCTGCATTAAGATTATTTTTGTTCCTCTCATAATTAGCTCAGGGGTTAAATTGGTTTTAGTAAGTATGTGGCTTAGAATAAACTGGTGATCCAAGGCCTGTCCGTTGTGTGCTAATACAATGACATCCTTAAATTTCTTTCGAATTTGGAGAACGTGATCCGTAAAAGAGGAAATAACATCTTCACCATTTAGAATTTGTTGTCGGAACCCACAGGACTGACAGAAATATAATTGCTCTTCTTGAATACATAAGTGGCAACGTTGATACACATGGATTCGGCTCGTGTTCATAACTGCCCAACCTTTTCTCCTGTCTCGTCTCCAAATCATAGAAAACGTAAACTATACCCTTTGTAGTTGGTTTTCCAGTATCACACTGCATGAAGCACAAATGCGACTGGGGCTGGCGCTTCTTGCATATTTTGCAGAAAATTTCTCCGCATGTATGATTTCGCTGTACCTTTACAGTTTTTAGACAGTTGGGGCAGAGTCGAATTTGATTGCAAATATTTCCCTCCGTTCCAATTTGAATATGATTATCAAAGCACGATTGGTTTTTAAATGTACGGAGGCAATCTGCGCACTTTACTTTAATTTCATCTTCACACGGAGGAGACCGACAACAAGCAACACAAGATTTGGCACATCTATGTGCGTTTTTGTCATTGTAGGGTGCAAGACATTCTTCACAATAATAACTGCAGCAAAAAGCAGCAGTTAGTGACGTTATAACGTTGTAGTGACCTTGGTGATAAATTAAATTCAAATTTCTCGTACCTTGCACCCCCGAAAAAATTACGTCTCGCCCTTTACTACCGTATTTATAAACCACTATGCGATGGTCTGTTAAATGCTGCTGAACAATGTGTAGCTCGGGAATCCCACATCCCTCCAGCAACTGTCTGGCTCTCGTTGTCTGTAATTTGGCAATATTCCGTCGCACTTTCACATACTCGGGGTCTTGTCCACAAAAGCTTTGGCTACCACCAAGGCGCGAGCCAAACATAAATTGTCTTTATTGTTAATTACTATTATCCCCTGACGTTTGGCGCACTCTTCTTCAAAGTTATTATAATTTTTTCCTTTTCCTTTTCCTGTTGGTATCCTAACAGTGGTAACTCCAAGGCAAAAGGTTTCGGTATTCAGCCCTGTCGAATTGGACTGATAAATGCCCCGATAAAATTGCCTCTTGTCCCCTAGCAGCATGTTGTATGACGATTTTTCGCTCCTTCTCCTCCCATATAAGCCATTTTAAAGCAATAAGCGATTGATTGTCTTTAAATCGATAGCCGCCTTTGGGAATAATACCTATGGTGTTTGGTTTGAGAAAATTTCTCCTAAACACTTTATTGCAAGCGGAGGCTATGGTGCAGGCATCGGTAAAGGGACAAACATTGGTGGTGGTCATCATCTGTTCTCGAAATTTAAGACAGGCTTCTGTCAGAATTTCCACGTCAAAAACACAGTAATCGATTAATTCTTTTTGAATCTTCGTACCAATTTAAAAATTCATTTCGAGCATCCAACTTCATTGTGTCAGGGCTATAAAATTCGATGAAAGGTAGTGGTCCAACATATTTTTGGTTTTCCATAGTATTAAACAAGTGAGGAAAATGTCTTTTCTTGAATTTGTCCCCCAGGTCAAAAGCTTTGGGGAGTGCAGAGAGGGGCATTGGGAAGTAGTTAAGAGAATCCAAAAATTTGACGTTTTTTTAGCTGCATTAAGATTATTTTTGTTCCTCTCATAATTAGCTCAGGGGTTAAATTGGTTTTAGTAAGTATGTGGCTTAGAATAAACTGGTGATCCAAGGCCTGTCCGTTGTGTGCTAATACAATGACATCCTTAAATTTCTTTCGAATTTGGAGAACGTGATCCGTAAAAGAGGAAATAACATCTTCACCATTTAGAATTTGTTGTCGGAACCCACAGGACTGACAGAAATATAATTGCTCTTCTTGAATACATAAGTGGCAACGTTGATACACATGGATTCGGCTCGTGTTCATAACTGCCTAACCTTTTCTCCTGTCTCGTCTCCAAATCATAGAAAACGTAAACTATACCCTTTGTAGTTGGTTTTCCAGTATCACACTGCATGAAGCACAAATGCGACTGGGGCTGGCGCTTCTTGCATATTTTGCAGAAAATTTCTCCGCATGTATGATTTCGCTGTACCTTTACAGTTTTTAGACAGTTGGGGCAGAGTCGAATTTGATTGCAAATATTTCCCTCCGTTCCAATTTGAATATGATTATCAAAGCACGATTGGTTTTTAAATGTACGGAGGCAATCTGCGCACTTTACTTTAATTTCATCTTCACACGGAGGAGACCGACAACAAGCAACACAAGATTTGGCACATCTATGTGCGTTTTTGTCATTGTAGGGTGCAAGACATTCTTCACAATAATAACTGCAGCAAAAAGCAGCAGTTAGTGACGTTATAACGTTGTAGTGACCTTGGTGATAAATTAAATTCAAATTTCTCGTACCTTGCACCCCCGAAAAAATTACGTCTCGCCCTTTACTACCGTATTTATAAACCACTATGCGATGGTCTGTTAAATGCTGCTGAACAATGTGTAGCTCGGGAATCCCACATCCCTCCAGCAACTGTCTGGCTCTCGTTGTCTGTAATTTGGCAATATTCCGTCGCACTTTCACATACTCGGGGTCTTGTCCACAAAAGCTTTGGCTACCACCAAGGCGCGAGCCAAACATAAATTGTCTTTATTGTTAATTACTATTATCCCCTGACGTTTGGCGCACTCTTCTTCAAAGTTATTATAATTTTTTCCTTTTCCTTTTCCTGTTGGTATCCTAACAGTGGTAACTCCAAGGCAAAAGGTTTCGGTATTCAGCCCTGTCGAATTGGACTGATAAATGCTGGAAATTACGTCCCAAACATCATCTAATGTAACTTCTTCTGCGGGTCTAAAACGAACCCAACCGTCACCGCGAGCAAAGTCCTTGCAGTCGAAATTAAAAGCTACCTGATCCATCGGTAAAAGATCCTAATGACATCACCAATAGCATCTTTTACCCAAGACACAGGTTCCACTTTTGATGGTAAGTCACGCAACTTAAACTCTAATGTACGCCCACGAAGATTAAATCGACGAATATTTTTTGAACTATCTTTAACGATAATAAACTTCTCCATTTTAATTAAATTAAAAAATATGAGAGGTAAACGCAGCTAATACTTTGAGACGATAATAACAACTGATTGAAGATATTGCTAAAGAACCTTTTATATTTTGGTAATGAGACGCCCCGAAAATGTGAAGGAGTGGGGTAAAAGTATCGAAAAACCGGCACAGTACTTAGCAGTATTTAGCAATATTGTATGCTGTATAAACACAGTATTTTGCAGTAGTTTAAGCTGAATAACACAGTATTTATAAGTATCTCTTAAATTTGGAAAAAGACCTTGAGCTATTCAAAACTTTTTCAAATGTATATATTATCAAGGTTTATATTATGTTTTTTTGTATGAATTTTAATGCTGATAAAGATTTATAAATAAAAATTACTTACTTAAACAGTATTTCTTGCATCCAGGTAAACTCATACATCCAAAAATCAATGTGGTAACCTTTTTCTGAAAATCAGCCATTGTGTATTATTTTGTACCTAAAATACGTAAATATCAAATTCTTTATTTTGATCTTATAAAATTACTAAAAATCTCTATAAAAAATAATAAATTAAAGCATGTAGTATGTTTAATATTAAATCATTTAGATTAGAATAAAATCATTGGTATTAGATTAAAAATTATTTAATAATTAAAGTATCTTTTTGTCATCAATTTTATTTAAAATGTCGTTTTTCTTATTATTAAAAAATTGCTTCTCAAAAATATACATATACAATAACTATAAAATTTAAATTTTAATTAATAAAAGATATAAAATAGTTTTTAAGAGCATAGCTATTTGCAATATGGCAACATTTCTCTAAATTATCATAAAATGACGTCGGTCACTTTTTTTTAATTTAATAGTAATAGTATAGTAGTAGTAAATGTTTAAACTATTATGTTTACAAACTCATCATAGAATTTGAACTACAATAATTGTTAAAAATTTAGAATTACTATGTACTTAAAATAAAAGAACTAAATTTGGTGTTGTATTTCCTTTTTAAATTATTAAACAATTTTAATTATTGGCCGCAAATGGCGAATTAATTTTAATAAATAAAAAGCAAATTTATTTTACATAAAAAATCATAGGTTAATAATTTGCAATTTATAGAATTTGATCGAATGTAAATAGTTTGCTTGTGGTGTTAAAAAAAAAGTTAAATAATTAGTTTTAACAAATTAAAAAAATTGTGAATTGTTTATTTATCCAGCTTTTAAAGCTATTATTATTATTATTATTATTATAAAGTCATCGAATATTTTTATTAAGAAAACATTTTTACAATCCAGCTTGGTAAACCATAATGTGAATAAACCAGGCTAATTTTTAACAAAAAAGCTTTATTTTGGGTAATTAAAAAACAGACCTGAAATAATAAAGTTTTTTTTTTTTCAAATTTATATAAGATTAAAACATTATAACTTACATCAAATTTAAACTTTTTTCTTTCAATAAAAGGCTGCACTTCTTTTTTTCTTTTCCCTTCTCCATAATTAAATTCTTAATAACTTTCTCTTCACTATAATAAAAAATTGATTTAAATCAATTATTGGTTATTTATATGGACCACGTGTATTTATTTAGCATATCCTAAAAAGTTAATATTATTATTAAGAATATTTCAAAAAATTAGAGGCAGATTTTTAAATCTTACTTGGTTCATATTTTACCCGAAGTTACTACATACTTTTATATTAAGCAACAAGACTCTGAACTAAAAAAATTAAAATTTAACGAAGATATTAATATTATCCATTTAATTTATTATAATTAATATTAAATTTAAGTTAAAAAAAATACGTTGGATAAAGGATCAAATCAAATAGTTGCTTCCTAATAAAAGAAAATTGTTTTTGAGAAATCCATTGTTGTGATTATTAAATATTATAATTTTAATACCGACATACAAAAATCATATCCTGTTATTTTTACAATGTTAAAAGTACACTTGTGGCAGTTTTTCTAATTTTTGGACAATCTTGGAAATAAAAATGTATATAGAAATGGATATTAGATTAAGGGTTTAAATTAAAATAAAATTTAACAAAGAAAGGATCTTTTGAGCGTGTAGTCTATTTTAAATGCTGTTTAAAAATATGTTATTTGCAAAAAAAAAGGAAATTAAATTTGTACAAGGAAATAAAATAGTTTTAAGTCACTCTACAAAACATTTAAATTAATTAATTCAATATACAATGGGTTTCAAAATTTTGCTAAATAACGTAAATATTTAACAAAAATTACTATATGCTTAAAAATATATTTTTTATATTTAACAAACATGCCTGTACAAATTCGTCCATTAAAGCACGATTTTAAATCTTGACATTTTTTGAGTCTGCAAACCTTTTTCTTACTTTTATTAAAAAAAATTTAATTTAATACATTAAATTAAATTTCCTTTCACATATTTTCAAATTAATTATTGTGCAATATTAAAATAATTTTCAAACAGGTTTTTATTAGATTTTTTTTGTAATCTATATTTTTTATGTAAAAGGTGCTATTTTTTAATTTCATTGCTATATTATTTGGTTAAATACGATATTATTCAATTGTACTTACCTCTTTTGCTTGTACCAAGTTAACACAAGCACTATTCGTAAGCCACTAAAAGGTCATTGTTTCGCAACAACCTTCAAGCGTCTTAAAACAAGACACAGTACGAAGCGAGTATTGTATTCACTTGTACTTTAAATATTTATCAATTCTTACATGACAAAAAAAATAGAACTGATATACATCACTTAAATTTACAATTAAAACAAACTTAAACATTAAAGAATATGAAATAAAAAAAAACAAAAAATTAAATCAACTTCATAAAACTAAGTAAAATTAAATAAAAATAAAACCAAAATATAATACAAAAATAAAAAAATCCCGATAAATTAAAAAAAAATTGAATTCATAATTTTAACATCCTTTTTTTAATTTTCTTATGCAATTTTCGAAAGCGTTAAACCATTATTTTCTTAAAAAGGAACTTTTGTTTTTTAATTTAAATAATTCTCCGTTTTCCCTCTCTAAGAACTCTGCAGCTCTAGCTCTAGCTCTACTTGTATTTCAAGCTCCTTTTTTAACTTATCTAAATCTAATTTTAATTGTTTATTTTCACTAGTTAAGTTTTTATTTACACCAATCAAATCCTTATTCAGGTCGTTTTCGTAAAATAATTTACTTTTCCACTCGTTGTTCAACTTTTTCCATTAATAACTCACATTTTCTTTTCTCTCTATAGATATCTCCCTTTAATTTTATCACTTCACTTTTTGTTTCTTTAAGATCGTATGCTATCTGTAATTATTTTCATTGCAATAAAAATTTAAATCAATGCAATCAGGGCAATTACTACTTACTATAGTGCTGTATACAGCACACAATGTGTATAAACATGAAACTATGAAAATCATTTTTTAATACAATAATAGAACTTAGATAATACTGGTAGCAAAAGTTATTATAAAATAAATCAAAATTATAAAATTTAAAATGTTTTATAAGAAAAAACAAGCCAAATCAGCATAAAAACTCTTATCATTATACAACGTGTATCTATCACCTTGTTAACAAGCAATTTTTAAGTTTAACTATACATTTTAAAAAAGTTTTTTTTGTTAAGTTTTTTTTTTATTACACAAATACAAAATAGCATTTAATTATTTAATAAGAAAACGGTTTACGTAGGTAATTTATAAAATATTTAAATATTGTAATTAGGAATATAGTATTCCTTACATCAGAGTATACTCTATAGGGCAGTAATCGAATAAAATTGTAACCATGAATATAAATAGTAATTATTTTGGTGATTAAAGATTATTTATGTAGTCATTTCTCATGAATACTTTACTTGAATAATATTCCTTATTTATAATCAAATTTTACGTTGTAATCATGAATAACGTTATTTATGAAAGTATGATTATAATTAATATTCATAATCAGAATTAAAGAATAAATTATGTAATTATAATCATTCTGTATAATTACTTTGGTAAATAATCCTTGCTTAACGAATTTAAAGTAAGAACAATGTAACTAAGAAAATTCATTCACTCGTTGTTATATAATTTCGCCGGGATTAATCATATACAATGACTACAATTATTAATCATTATTCTTTTCCGATAATTGACGATTTCAGTATTTATAACCACTCAAAACGTAAATAATAAATAATATTCGTTATTCATGTTAGAATGATTTATGATTACTTTGTTGTAATCATTATTCATGATTAAATTTCATAAATAATAATCATAATCATAATCATAATCGAATACAATTTGCCCCACTCTGCCTTACATCAACACTATCCAGGATAGTCTATCCCATATTGTTATGTAATCAGTACATGCGTAAAGAACTAGCAAAAAAAAATCAATAACCTTTCGGCAAGTAAGTATTAATTTAAAAGGTGAATATTTCTAAGGAATTTTATGTCAGCGGATCAGCTTTCGAGCGACTCGTGTATCTCTGCATTTTATTACATATCTTTAGTTACCAACCAAGGTCAATGACTCATATAACAATCAAAAAATTCTAACAATATATAGGTTACGGGATTAAATTATATCTTATAAAAACTCATGAACAATATTTAAGGGGGTGGTTTCAATAAAATATTGAAAGAAAAAATAATTATAAATGAAATTACATCGTAAAAAGTTTATAAACGCGCTTGTACAATAGCAATTCTTTGCACTGTTTCTAGAACAGTCATATTAGAGCAGTGTGTAGTGTATTGGACTAGGGGCAAGGCCTACAATGCTATAAGCAAAATTTACCCATTAATAAACAAGAACAGCCCGCTTTCATTAAACAATAAAGTCCTGTTGTACAAAACTGCCGTTCGCCCGGCAATAACCTATGGTTGTGCTGCCTGGTGCTCCGTTCCTGACACTACCTTGACAATAGTTCAAAGGTTGCAAAACAAGGCTTTACGTCATGTAACGGGTGCTGGGCGGTACACATCTGTGGATGAATTGCATGAGCGAGCGGGGGTTGAGTATATACAGGACTTTATTTACAGACTTTCGAACAATTTTTATAAATATAAAATTCAAAATTCACCTCTTACACGAAACATCACCAACATTAGACACCAACACAACATCCACTACAAACACAGATTAATCTACGGACGATTACCCATTTTCCACGAGCCACTGCCTCCCACTGTTCCTTAAATAATTTGAAAATTAAAATTCTAAATTCAAAATTATAATAATCCATAAACATAACTTAAAATAACTGAATTCGTAAAATACCACAAATTTTTTTTTCAATTTTTTCGAGAGGGTTTTTTGCATTTTTTCCCTTAATACTTTTACCATAAATTATAAAAAAGCATAATCTGACAGTCTCCAATTTTTACACGCAAAACAACTAAACAATATTGCCCCTGTATCGGATAAGCGAAGGGAATGGCGAGCTGCGAGACAATTTTAAATTGTATCATGGTTTCGGGTAGGCCAAAACATCGGCCAGGGGGGTTGCTATATTGCGCTACAGCGTATATATAGTAACCTCCTTTATGATGAACATTACGTGCCAGGAACATTTGTTTTGTTCATTTTATTTATACACCTCTTATTTATACCTGGAATTATTTTTACAATTTATATTTTATACAATAACTTGAATAAATAATTTTGATTTGATTTGATTTGATTTGGACTATGGAGCGAAATATTGACGGTTCAAATCCTATTTGAATAATCACTTTTTATTTATTATAAAATTGTTCTCCCTAATTTGACATATAACAAAAAAAAAAGGAAAAATACCCCTTATTTTTAAATTTTCTTTTCATTTGATACCCCACATGTCATAAAATTAAAATCTACCCCTAAAATACTCATTTTGTTTTTTTAGTCGAAGTTAGGATTGTATGCGGTGTGGGGGCGGTCCCAGGGTAAGTGGGTCACACCCCCCCAAAAATTGTAATCCTCAAGGTCACGTGCCACAGGGGTCAAACCCCCAACATCAAATAACATAAATTCCCACGATCCTCATAAAATTCCCACGGTCACCATTTAGTTCCCAGTCTCAAGTGCCCCAATACCTACTCAAACCTCATTTGTTAATATCAAAATGATTGGTTTTGTTTTTACCTGAGTTTTAAGTATTGTTCCAATAATATCAAAATGATCTAAATGAATATAAATATATTTGATTGTCAGTGACGAAGAAATTAAACATCGTTTATGTAATTTTCGACGCGGTAAACTGCTGTTAGGTGGGTTAAACAAAACAGGGCAAGCAAAATTTTATACTTTATTTTGTTGTAGGTTCAATTATTTTAATACCTTTTCCGATAAAGAGTTTAAACTTGTTACAGAATACCGAAGTAGCACAAAGTTGTAAGAGGAACTTTATAACCATGGTTAACGTTTAAATGACTTATATATTTCAAACACAACTTAAAATTATGTGACTAGACGTCTCATGTCTACTATATAACCAAACAGAGTTTTTTAAACGTTTTATTTATCATACCGGAATTTATAATTGAAATGGTTGTAGTATAATTTATAATAACGGTACAATCAATTGTTTATTTGGGGTTTTCAATTCTAGTCTTAAAATTAGTTTTTAAGGCTACCATATAACTCTATTAAAACGGTTCTTTTGACTTGGTGCTAAAAGTTGCATTAAGATTGTTGTTACCTTGCGCAAACCTATTTTAAATAGATGAAATTCATTATTAGTTATGAGTTTACATTTACATTACTGTCAAGTAAAACTAGTTTTTTAAATAATGACTCCATATTTACAATTTGTTTATACGTATCAGTTTCTTCTAATTTTGCCTCCAATTCAAATACGTCATCCACGGCTTTAAAAGGAAATGAAACTACATTTTCTTCTTCAGCCTCCTCTTCGATATTCGTGATTAAATCTGGATAATTTGTTCTATTTTCCATAAGAAAAATTATATAGTTTCACCAATTTTTTTCAATTAATATAGCTTCTTCTAAAGTGGCTATTCCTCTTCGTCTTACAATCACACAATTGAGCCGCATTGGGCCCGCAGGAACTCGGCATCATTATTTGGGTAATACAGAATTTTACCCTATACCCATTTATCAGAACCCGTCGTTAGGAAAAGTTTCGTGTTTTCAATAGTTTTTACTATTGAAAACGTCTTTATTAACTTTATTAAACATAGTAGCCGTCTCACGTCTAAACGTATAAAAACGTACATATATAACTAGTCGTGTTGGATACTGTTTAGTGGTAAAAAAAGAAAACCTTTTTATAAAAAAAGGTCCTTTTCCGCGTAAAACTCTATAACCACTATACAACGAGGCTTTGTATATTCTATATAATAATGTTTATAAACCTCAATGAAACTTTAAATATGCAACTATTACAGGATATAGAAAAGTTATTAAATATTTATGGTGTCGCTTTTAAAACTTTAAATTTTCCCCAACAGTAAGCCATATTAGACATGAAAAAGATGGAGGCCATTTTATTATTTATTAAAAATTATTAATATTATAAAGTTTTTAAGTTAAAGCCCATTTGTAAAATGTAATGCATTAATTTGAAATAAAAATTTAGGGGCAAAGTATTTAAAAATTAAAAATTGTAATTTTTTTTAATAATTGTTTTTGCCTTTAATTTTAGGTATTTTGTTGGCCCTTTAAAATTGTAAGTAGTATCAACATATGTACAGTAAAAATGCAATTGCTTTTATTTTCGAAAATATTTTATATTTATATTTATAATATACCTATGAATACTTATTTTTATATACATACAAGTTTTACCAACCATCATAAAAAATATAACCATTATGTTTATAATAAATATCTACAGATAATTTTATTTTTAAGAGTGTTTAAAACTAAATACCAGAATTATATTAAATTATAACAAAATGTATAATAAAATATAATATAAGCCTTTTGAAGTAATCCAATAAAGTTTATTTTATTATTTATTATTATTATTATAATATAATATATAAAACTATATCACTTTAAATAGTAAATTGCGTAACCATTAAAAAAATATATTTTATGTAAGTTAAATAGTCGTCATATTGAAAGATAGACTGTGTGTTTTAGAGGTCCTAAGTATAGTTTTTATAACCTTTATATAACAAATGTATTAACAATTTAAAGTTAATCTTTTATATATTATTATGTATAGCTATTAAAACTTCAAAATAACTACATGGATTAACTGATTAATGAGAGGTGCATAGTATTCGTGAATACAGGGTGTCCCAGAACTCGCGCCACAGAGAAAAAGGGGGCGTGCCGACAAAAATGGAGATGCCAAATTTAAAAATATAAAATTTCTAGGTAATAGTGTAAGCGAATTAAAGCAAAAAAGTGGCAGCCAATACCGAGAGCTCTTGCCTAGATTAAACGTAGGGGATTTAAAAATTGCT